TATTAAGTATGTGACCTTAGGCAAGTTACTTAGCTTTTCTGAACCATAATTTCTCCATCTTTTTTTAAATACACATAGTTAAACCCACCTTATTAAGTTGTTATAGGATTAAACTGAGTTGTGTATGTGAAAGTGGTCAACATGGTTTTTGGTGTAGGTTTCTTGATAACTCCCTTTCCAGAAAACAAAAGAAAGAAAGAAACTTAAAATTGAACTTTCTTGGAATATGGTATTGCTACACCACTTAGTTAATACCAAGTTTAGATCACACTGGCCATCACTCCTGTGCAGTACGCTCCTGGGACTGGATAACAGAAATCTGGCCTTTCTAGCCGGGGATGGGAAGGCATCAGAGTGGGGCCAGCAAGAGACTCTTTCTTCCTTTTTCTTTGACCCCTTGGTTGGAGGTCAGCTTCTTTCTATTCAGCAGGCCCTTTTTCTCTGCTGTCTCTTGAATGTTGAAATTTCCATTGCAGCTCGATGTTCCAGCCAGTAAACACTCATATTTTCCATCTATCCTGGGGGTCGAGCTTTGGGAGAGCTTTTCTCTGGAGGAGTTTGGAGCTTATAATTTTGTACTTTATCCTGTTATATAAACAGTGCTTTCCAGCCAAAGAGCACAATCAAAGAGAAACTACTTTTTGGGGGGAACTAAAAAAAATTTCATATTCAGAGTTCTGTAGAAGTGATACTTCACTCCTTATGCCTCTTTCTTCTCTTTCATAAAATAAAGTTTACCTTACCTTTCTCCTGAGTCTGAACTCTCACTATTCCTTCCCCTGAGGAAGACGTTTTCTCCAGCACATGTGTGATAAAAGCCTGTACTTCTGTCTGAATTTTCTCTGCTGCGTTTCTCACTCAGCCAGCCACGTAACCTCTCAAGAGTTACACCCTGCATCAGTTTAAACTCTGGGACAGATTCTGCAGTTCCTCCTTCACGGAGAGAGCTGAGTGCTGTCAGTGTTTGTGCCAAGAGCAAAACTGATTGGCTTCTGCCTATTGAAGGAATGTTGGGAAGCTTAGGAAATCCATCAAAGAGAGCTGGCTGGACATCATACCAGGACCTAGGTAACATAGGTTTGGGAACCTAGGTCTGAGTGGCAGGAGTGAAAGAAGCGGATCTTTTTTATCCACAAGTCAAAATGAAGCATGGAATGCAGTGTTTGCAGTTTGCCAGGGTCAGCTTTTCTGATTTAGGTTCCCTCTCTCACCCCACTCTGCACTGCTTTGAAGTATTAATGGTAAACCACCTTCTGTTTCCTTAGGACACACACACACATACACACAGACACACACGTACACACGTACACAAGTCTTTTTTAGAGGCAAAACCTATGTAAATATACTTAACACTTCTTAACTGTACACATAAAAATGATGAAGATGCATTTAAAATTGTTTTTTTAACAACGTAAAAGATTTAAAAGAGAACCCCATTGTTTCACAAAAATCAATTAGTAGTCAAATAATTTTTTTATTTAACTGTTTAATCTTATTTAACCGTTCACTTTATAATTTTATAACTATACAAAATTGATGATTATTTTGGTTTTAAGAGGCCTGAATATGACAAAGTTTCTTATACTAAGCTGAATGAGACTCCTTATTTAGAATTAGGAAGTTATATGAATTGCTTTATTTATAATTTGGTTTAATTCTCCTGGCACAGTTTTTCTATCAGCTTCTATCCCTTCAAATTAACTGGTTTATCAGCTTTGGAAGAGCCTGGAAAGATCACAGGGGTGATGAGACACTTTGTTTCTGACTCATGTGGAGGAACTTGATGATCCATGTTTAAAGCTTACCTAGTATTGACTCAACAAATTGCAAAGGAAAACCAGCCAGTTTTCCTGATCCTTTAACTAAAGATCCCATCCTAACCATCTACCCTCCTCGCTGCTAAAAGACTCAGCATATTACCTGCCCAGTACTGCTAAGAAATCAATGCTCTTTTTTAAATGGTCCCAGGAGAACAGGAGATCCTAATAAGAAAAAATACTCAGTATTTATGTTTTCATAAAAGAAAAATATAGAACTGTATATCTGCAAAGGAATACAAGTCCTCTCTTTCCTGAAGCTACTTTGTGGGACAGAGTTTTGGTGTAGGTTCTTGGTAACTAACTCTTAGTTCCCTTTTTTGAAAGAGAGAAACAAAATTGTACTTGCTTGGTATATGGTATTTGCTACACTGGGACCCAGTTTAGAGTCAACTGGCCATAACTCATGTACAATAAAATAGAGTATTATAGCAGGGAAAGCAGTAATATGTAATCACAATACTAAGGTTGACATTTATTTATATTGTAAAGTAAGTATTCACTTAATTAAAATTGTTATAAATCATTAAAATGCTCGTAAAGAAAGATAACTAGGAAAAGCCAAATTTTAAATGTTTGTTTAAATATAGAGCCAACTGTTCTTAGGGTGATGTGTGCAAGGCTAGTGATGTGAGAGAGGTAGTATATGAGAGCTCAGGGATTGGAAATGTCACAACATATGGCTAGCCCAGGTGTTCATAAGTTACTCTTGTCCTGCTTGGACCATTCTTACGCTTCAGGAGCAGTAAAGGGACAACTCATGGTTTCATGAATTATCAAGCTAAGATTCATATTAATTTCACTTCAGAGCCAATAATCAATACCACATTTGGCTTGGGTTTTTTTTTTTTTTAGACAAGATCTCACTCTGTCACTAGGCTGAAGTACATTGGCACAATCAAAGCTCACTGCAGCTTCTGCCTCCCAGGGTGCAAGTGATCGTCCTTCAACCTCCCACATAGCTGGGACTACAGGTGTGCACCACCATGCCTGGCTAATTTTTGTATTTTTTGTAGAGACAGGGTTTCATCATGTTTCCCAAACTGGTCTTGAACTCCTAGGCTCAAGCAATCCACCAGCCTCAGCCTCCCAAAGTGCTGAGATTATAGACTTGAGCCACCATGCCTGACCTAGCCTGGCCGATCTTAAAAATAAGTTTTACCATCTTTCTATGATGAGAATGAATTATGGGGTGCATCTCAATTATGTGACTATAATTTAAAAGGATTTAGATGAGAAAAGCAGGCTTTCTGGCATATTAGGTAAAGCAGCCATAAAGAGATTAGTAAACTGGATATACTTAAAGGCTAGAGGAAATCAAATCACAATTGACCCTTGAATAACTCATGTTTGAGCTGCTCGAGTCTACTTATATGTGGATTTTCTTCTATGTCTGCCACCCCTGAGAGAGCAAGACAAACCTCTTCCCTTCCTCCCCTTCCTCAGCTTACTCAGCCTGAGGATGACAAGAATGAAGACTTTTATGATTTACTTCTGCTGAATGAATAGCAAATATATTTCTCTTCCTTATGATTTTCTCAATAAATGTTATATTTAGCTTATTTTATAGTAGGAATATAGTATATGATACATATGTCACATACCCTATGTGTTATTTACTGTTTATTCATAAAGCTTCCGGTAGGCTATTAGTAGTTGAGTTTTGCGGGCGGCGGGGGGTGTCAGAATAGAAGTTATACCTGAATTTTTGACTGTGCGGGAGTTGACACCCCATCCCCTGTATTGTTCAAGGGTCAATTGTATGTTCTTCTGAAACGGGGTTGCACCAAGTAAAATTAAGTAGATGAAAGACCCTGCCTATATTGTTGAGTGCTCTCAAATATCTTACTAGCTTCTTGAACCCAGTACTGACGTTTGAAATATAAGCTTCAAAGAGTCTTGTTACCTTCTTCAGCAAATATTTAGGAGATTAAAATATGTGCAAAACCAAGGGTGAAACTGGTAATAAGTAATGTTTCAGCTGGGAAATGGTTTCATCTGATAGTTGTTAAAATATTGTTATCCCCAAAAAGTTAACATGTAAAATTACTGAATATCTCCTCAGTATGAGAGACTGGGCTCTGAAGGCAGTATTAGACAAGTCCCTGTCCTCAAGAAGGAAAATGACTAATCATAAATGTTATTAATGCAAGTACTATAAAGCAATATGTGCTTAATTATTGAATAGGAAGATGAAACTCTTAAGTGTTGAGAGTGCCGAAGAGAAATGGATCACTCTGGCTGAAGAAGCTGGCAAAAACTTCATGGAAAAGAAAAGGTCTGATTTGAATCTGGAAGGGTAGATGGGGCTTGGACAGGTCAACAGGCTGATCATCACTTAAGAGATAATTGAACATGTTTGGTGCTTGACACTGAGAATCTGAGAGGATCAAAGAATTATAATCCATACTCTAAGTTAGAGTTAGCAGTTCAGCAGGGCAATCTGGATAATACTATCCTATACACTTACTTTTTTTTTTCATGTAACATGCAAAGTGAGTGATTTTAAAAGGGCATATGGGTTCAGAAGAGTTCACAGTTCCGAAAAGGTACTAAAGACTTGGGTGAAAAGATAAGGCTCTGCAGAGGAATGGTTTAAGGTAGAATTTAAATTCAGTCCCAGGTGTATAGGCTACAGATAGGTTAAGAAATAGAGAGGAGGCCGAGTGCAGTGGCTCACACCTATAATCCCAGCACTTTGGGAGGCTGAGGCGGGCAGATCACGAGATCAGGAGATGGAGATCATCCTGGCCAACATGGTGAAACCCCGTCTCTACTAAAAATACAAAAATTAGTGGGCGTGGTGGTGTGCGCCTGTAGTCTCAGCTATTTGGGAGGCTGAGGCAGGAGAATTGCTTGAACCTGGGAGGCGGAGGTTTCAGTGGGCCGAGATTGCACCACTGCACTCCAGCCTGGCACCCGGTGACAGAGCAAGACTGTCTCAAAAAAAAAAAAAAAACCGTTAGCCAGGGACTACAGTGGCACGCATCTGTAGTCCCAGCTGCTCAGGAGCCTTCAAAGGGAATTGCTTGAACCCGGGAGGCAGAAGTTGCAGTGAGCCACGATTGTGCCACTGCACTCCAGCCTGGGCAAGACTCCATCTCAAAAAACAAAAAGAAAGAAATAGAAAGGAAGCAAAAAGAACATAATGTGCAAGATGTTTAAAGTATTTTCAAGGGACAGTAAATGGGAACCAGTCTGGCTCAGAGTGTTTGTCAGAAATAATGTATGAGTCAAAACATTTTGTGTTTCAAGTGATAGAAACTGAAGTCAAGCTGGCATATCTGTAAAGGAGATTTTTTAGTTCATGTAAAAGCCTAGAAGTTGGTGTGGGGGTGTTAGGAAGTATCATTAATCATTCTACTTTCTTCCAAGTTCACAACTAAATGAGAAATAGTAGAAAAGTTAGAGCAATAGTGAGATACTGGCTGTGTTACTGATAAGGATACAAGGTTGGGAATATAGCATAATTAGGCTTCTACCTCTGAAGTCTAAGTCTTTCTAATTTATTTTCTGCATTCTAAATATTTCCTGTATTGAGTCACTTGGATAATTAAAACAAATATTTTCCAGAAGAAGGAAAAGGATCTAACACACCGCAATGTGAAAAACAAAAACAAAAAACACTGTGGCCTGATTTCCAAGGTGAACACTTGCCTCTGGTCCCAGTCCACCTTTCCACTCGTGTTCTTCTTCATAAGTTCAGTGTCAGCCAACTCCACAGATAAAAATCAGCCTATTTTTGTACACCATGGTGACTATAATTAATAACAATGTATTATATACTTGAAAATTACTAACAGAGTAGATTTTAACTCTTCTCAACACACACAAAAATATGTAAGGTAAAGCATACATTAATTAACTCAATTTAGCCATTCCACAATGTATAACACATTCCAAAACATCATGGTGTACACCATAAATATATACAATTTTTATGTTTTCATTAAAATGACGAAAGATAATCCTTTGGAACTAAAATATATAAGGCTAGTATATTTTCCCATCACCACATCCTCACATATGCCATTCTATAGCGCTTATTCTATTTGTTTACTGTTTACTTTCTATCACTATTTCACATAAGCGTATGTTGTCTTATTCATTATTGTATCCCAGTGCCTTGGTAAACAGTAGGAACTTACTGATGTACAAATTTAACTAAAAGCAGAATATCCTGTTCTTGCACAGGGCTCAGCTTATCCCAGTCTTCCTGCAACCTTCCGTGATGTCCCGAGCAGATCTTCTCATCCTTTTACTCATCATCTGTTGGAATCATGCTCCTGAGAGAGAGAATTCAAAAGAAGCTCCAAGTGTGCAATTTTAATTCCTAGAGAATGGATGTAGCCCTTTCTAGCACAGTGAACTGAATACAAAAGAGAAAAGCCCTAGCCTGTCTCCACTGAGCTTAGCATCCCTCCTTCTGACCTTTCTCTTCCTCTCTCATGCACATACACCACACTCTTCCCAAGTCACTAGGCCCTGTTGCTTCTCTTTTGGATCTTACTTCAGTTCTTTACAGTTGTCTAAAGTAACAAGTGCTCTATAAGCAGAAGGCCTTCCCTAGTCTGGGGAGCAGAGGTAGGGTGTGGAAGCAAAGGAAATGGTTGAAACCTTTCTTTTCTCATCCTTCTTCCTACCCTGCCCAGCCCCCAGGAGTCATAGGAGCCACTTCTGGAAGGGCATCTGCCATCTTTGACATCTTAGGGTAGGATAGTGCTCTCTGTACTCCCAGCCTTTTCACATTGTTTGCCTAATAAGTTGTAATGTTTGCTGAGTTTGTGATTCTGTGATGTTCAGCTCATTTAGTGTTCTTTATAGTAATCTTCCCTTCTCACTGTCCTTCACTGGACAGACTTTCTGACATCTCCAACCCAAGTGGTTAGTGTAGGAGTGGGGCTGAGGGGGGACACATAAAGTTAGGCCACCATCTCCTGACTCCGGGATTCCAAGTTCCAATACGTTTATATTATCTCTGCTATGACACTTACCATTCCTGCTTATATTATGGTTGTTTGTATACTTGTTTTATGGCCTACATTAGATGGCAAGCTTTTTGAAGGCAGAGACCTAGTCTTATGCATCTTTGTATCCTTACAGTGCCCTACACTGTAAGAGTGCTCAGTGAATGTTTGGCGGATGGGTGACTAGACCAGTGTTGTCTAATATGATAGCCAAGAGCCACATGTGTATATTTAAGTTTTAATTTAAATTAAATAAATTGAAAAGTTCAGTTTCTCAGTCATATAAGCCACAAGTCAAGTGCTCAAAATGAGCTTACATGGCTCATGGCTACCATGTTGGACAGCGCAGGACTGGATAGTTGACCCAACAGATATCATAAAGACCCAAATTTGGTTAATGGAATAAGTGTGTGTGTGTGTATAAAAAAATTTTTTTTTGAGACAGTTTTGCTCTTGTTGCTGAGCCTGGAGTACAATGGCATGATCTCAGCTCACTGCAACCTCCACCTCCCTGGTTCAAGCGATTCTCCTGCCTCGGCCTCCCAAGTAGCTGGGATTGCAGGCATGCACCACCATGTCCAGCTGATTTTGTATTTTTAGTAGAGAAGGGGATTTTCCACGTTGGGCAGGCTGGTCTCGAATTCCGACCTCAGATGATCCACCAGCCTTGGCCTCCCAAAGTGCTGGGATTACAGGCGTGAGCCACCGCACCTGGCCAAGTTTCTAAGAAAAGAATATTGTTGATCTCCTCTTAGGATCTTCTGTAGATCTTCAGCTTCTTTTGTTTAGATCTAGAGATTTACTACAGATGCTGTTCTTGAACTAATTTGTGGTCCTCGAAAGGTAATATTCTAATACCTTGGGAATCTGACAAGATCAGAGCTTCACTGTAACTAGTATCTAACCCATCAGAGCTAGGCCAACTGAGAGGGAGGGGTTTTTTAAGCAGATCCCAGCATTATCTTTTTGTTTTCTGAGATGTGTCCATGGCTAGATGCTGGGGGAGTGTTCTTCTCTATCCTCCCTCTCCTACTGCCCACAGCCACCCCCTGCCCCCACCTGCCTGGCTGGAAGTTCTGACATGGCTTCTAGAGCTGCTCTGACTCTGGGGAACAGAGCCAAACATGCGGAAGTGGTTACGTGTGCTAGCTCCCAGGGAAGCCGTGGCTAGCAGGGGGAGTGGGTGGGGTTCTGCCTGATGGCTTTTCAAAGATGCCAAATCTTTGAAGTTTTGTTTTAGCAGCTGCCAGGTATGCTGTTTCAGCACTTTGCAGACTCCCTGTATTCCCATATCACATTTTTTCTTTACTGTGTGTGTATAGTATACACAGTGGAGCTTGGCTGTTGGGAGGGCAAATATAAAATTGTGGAGTAAGGAACTAAACACAACCCTTTTGGCTTTTGGCCTTTTCTTTATACTATGACTGCTGTGAAATCGCCACTTTAATGCCTCACTTTCGGCTCTGTCCCTTTCTGATCACCTGCCAAACGAGGGGCAGAGTCCTACTTTGGGAACATAGTAAGGTTTGAAAAACTGGAGGTCCTACATTTCTGTGATAGATTGGGGTGTCACTCTTGAGATTAGAACTTCTCCTTTTTTACAAAAGAACAGATGATACCCCCCCCCGCCCCCACAGCAAGTAACCCAGATACTGCTGGTCTCAGAGTAAACTTCTTGCTCGCCATTGGCTCCTTGGCACTGAGCACAATGTGAACAATAAATGTTTCTTAAATGATTGTACTTGCAGCTGCTGTGCTGGAGGAGAAGGGCTGGGGAGGTAGAATCCCCCTTTAAGGCCCAGCCTCTGTGCTTTCCCTGCCTTCTTGTTTAGCAGTCTCTTTTTCCATCCACCCTGCAGTCACCTGAAGCCATTTCCAACTGCCCCCAAATTTGCTGCTTCCTCTGAACTCCACTCTTGGACTTTAGTGTATGTTTTCTTCCGTAATCTACTGTCTTGTCTTTCTCTCCTGAAAGGTAAGCTACATTTCATTTCTGGAGCGGAAATGGGAAGACCTAGGTGCCAGCTACAGGTCCACCTGACTTGGGGCAAATCATTTGACAAAACTGAAGCCTAATTTTGCTATGTGGAAAGTGATGTCTGGATTGTCATGGGAGTTCAGTGAGATCCACACATGAACATGCTTTGTAAACTGTTAAGTACTACACATGATTGGGTCTTTTCAGTATTAATAACACTCATCAGCTGCCGATGTACACAGACTAATCTCTCCCAGGGTTGAGGTAAATCACCAGTTCAGTCTCACGTTACTCAGTTAGTTTGGCACAGGTTTAAAGCATTAAATGGCCCATTCCAGGCACTGTCTGTCATCGCTTGTCTTTCAGTCTGCAGGCTCCTCCTTTCGGAGATGTTTCCTTAAGTCTCTCCCTTTTCCTATCAGGCACAGGCTGAGCTCTCTCTTTTAACCACTTCTGTTCTTAGAGCAGCAGGCTTGTCCATCCATTTCCCAGATTCAGCGGGAATTGCTGTACTGAGGGGCCAGTCCCCTCAGCATGGCCACCTGCCTCCTGCAGCTCTGCCCGGCAGGAACACCAGGTGCCTTCATTATCCTCAGCCAAGCCCGTCCATGCCTTCATCAGCCTGTCTCAGCCTCCCCTCCTTCGTTCCTCTCCCTGTCATTGCTTTTTTGCCAGGCCATCCTCTGGTCTCCCTCTTTCATATCATTTCATCCGGCATTTTCTTTCTTTCTCTGAGTTCTGACCTTTCATCCAGAAATGCTGTTTCCTACTTCAAGCCTCTGCTGTTTGGTGCATCTTCACACTACTATCACCCAGTCCCCAGCATCTGAAGGCAGCTCCTTCTCAGAGAAAAGTAGGATAAAGAAGCACTGCCATATTTTGGTACTATCATATGGCTCGAGAAGCTCCCAATTTTTTTTAATTTTAAAATATCTAAGATCTCCCATTTAAGTGTTGTGACCTAATGTTTGAAAGCATGTAGTCAAGAGGCAGACCAGTTTGGATTCCTTCTTTTTTTTAGCCACTCACTAGCCATTTTGCCTAGGGCAAGTTCTTTGAACTTAATATTCTTATCTCTAAAACGGAGAATAAATGCTTACTTCCTAGGGATGTTCTCAGGAGCAAAAGAAAATTAAATGGCGTAAGAAAAGTACTTTTACTGTATATAGTGCCTGCCATAGAGTAAATATCCAGTAAATGGGAATCCTTGTAAACATTTCTATGTCATACCCGTATATTAGAAATGTTAAAAATGGAGACTCAGAAATTAAGTCGATTGTGCAAATTCTCATACCCACCTAGTGATAAAGTAAGGAGGAGAACCCGGAGCTTCTAGTTCTCTGCCTGATAAATTTTCCATTTGATCTCTCTGACCCCTCAAAGGGTTATTTGTTCGAATTTCCTTTCTTTAGATAAAGCCTGTGATTATCCCAGATAGAGGCATGTTCATTTATTCATTCAGCCAACATTACATGATCATAATGTTACCAGGCTCTGGGTGTACAAAGACCTGTAATGACAAACTCACTGTCTCAATGGTTAGTTAGTCCAGTAGGGAAGAAATCATCACTGTGATAAATAGTCACAGAGCAAAAAACCTGCTAGCAAAAGGCATGTGGGGCCTACAGGAACAATCTAAATCAAAGGAAAACCAGGATTGATTTTTCAGAGGGTGAATTACTGGTTTTTTTCTAGATGAAAATGGCAGAGAGCTGTACAAAGGCAGGGAGGTATAGAAGAGCATGCCTGAAGGGCAGTGTTGTGGGAGCATCACGTTCAAGTAGGGGAGTATGTGGCTGAGGAGGCTGAGGATAAGGTGGGAAAGTTGAAGAGTTAAAGTGCTTGGTATGCCATGTTAAAGGGATTTTATCCCATTGTCAGCCCTTTTAATCAAAGTCAAATGAAGAAATCAAGGGAGCTTTTAAAAAACATTTCTGTGTCTTTATTTCTGTGTTTCCATTGTCTTTCCCCTTCCCTTTCACATTTTTTTAAATTGTATTTTAGGTTCTGAGGTACATATGCAGATCATGCAGGATTGTTGCATAGGTACATACATGGCAAAGTGGTTTGCTGCCTCTATCCCCCTGTCACCTATATCTGGCATTTCTCCCCATGTTATCCCTCCCCAACCTCCTCACCCACTGCTGTCCCTTCCCTACCACCCCGCCAACAGACCTCAGTGTGTGATGCTCCCCTCCCTGTGTCCATGTGTTCTCATTGTTCAACACCTGCCTATGAGTGAGAACATGCAGTATTTGATTTTCTGTTCTTGTTTTTTGCTGAGAATGATAGTTTCAAGATTCATCCATTTCCCTACAAAGGATGCGAACTCATAGTTTTTTATGGTTGCGTAGTATTCCATGGTGCATATGTGCCACATTTTCCTTGTCCAGTCTATCATCAATGGGCATTTGGGTTGGTTCCAGGTCTTTGCTGTTGTAAACAGTGCCTCAATGAGCATATGTGTTCATGTGTCTTTATACTAGAATGATTTATAATCCTTTGGATATATACCCAGTAATGGGATTGCTGGGTCAAACGGAATTTCTGTTTCTAGGTTCTTGAGGAATCACCACACTGTCTTCTACAATGGTTGAACTAATTAACACTCCTACCAATAGTGTAAAAGTGTTCCTATTTCTCCACATACTCTCCAGAATCTGTTGTCTCCAGATTTTTTAATGATTGCCATTCTAACTGGAATAAGATGGTATCTCAGTGTGGTTTTGATTTGCATTTCTCTAATGACCAGTGAAGAAGAGCATTTTTTCATATGTTTGTTGGCCTCATATATGTCTTCTTTTGAAGAGTGTCTGCTCATATCCTTTGCCCACTTTTGAATGGGTTTGTTTGTTTTTTTCTTGTAAATCTGTTTTAGTTCTTTGTAGATTCTGGATATTAGCCCTTTGTCAGATGGGTAGATTGCAAAAATTTTTTCCCATTCTGTTGGTTTCCGGTTCACTCTAATGATTGTTTCTTTTGCTGTACAGAAGCTCCAGAGTTTAATTAGATCCTGTTTGTCTATTTTGGCATTTGTGGCCAATGCTTTTGGTGTTTTAGTCATGAAGTCCTTGCCTACACCTATGTCCTGAATGGTTTTGCCTAGGTTTTCTTCTAGGGTTTTTATGGTGTTAGGTCTTATTCAATAAAATACTGGCAAACCGATTGCAACAACACATCAGAAAGCTTATCCATCATCATCAAGTAGGCTTCATCCCAGGAATGCAAGGCTGTTTCAACATATGCAAGTCTACAAACGTAATCCACCACATAAACAGAACCAAAGACAAAAACCACATGATTATCTCAATAGACGCAGAGAAGGCCTTTGAGGGTTATGCTAAAAACTCTCAATAAACTAGCTATCGATGGAACATATCTTAAAATAATAAAAGTTATTTATGACACACCCACAGCCAATATCATACTGAATGGGCAAAAACTGGAAGCATTCTCTTTGAAATCTGGCACTAGACAAGGATGCCCTCTCTTACCACTCCTATCCAATATAGTATTGGAAGTTCTAGCCAGAGCAATCAGGCAAGAAAAAGAAATAAAGCATATTCAGTTAGGAAGGAGGAAGTCAAATTGTCTCTTATTTGCAGATGACATGATTGTATATTTAGATGACCCCATCATCTCAGACCAAAATTTCCTAAAACTGATAAGCAACTTCAGCAAAGTCTCAGGATACAAAATCAATGTGCAGAAATCACAAGCATTCCTATACAACCAATAACAGACTAACAGAGAGCCGAATCAAGAACGAGCTGCCATTCACGATTGCTACAAAGAGAATAAAATACCTAGGGATACAACTAACAAAGGATGTAAAGGACCTCTTCAAGGAGAACTACAAACCACTGCTCAAGGAATTAAGAGAGGACAGAAACAGATGTAAAAACATTTTACGCTCATGGTTAGGAAGAATCAACATCATGAAAATGGCCATACTGCCCAAAGTAATTTATGGATTCAGTGCTGTCCCCATCAAGCTGCCAATGACCCTCTTCATAGAATTGGACAAAACCACCTTAAACCTCATATGGAACCAAAGGAGAGGCCGCATAGCCAAGACAATCCTAAGCAAAAAGAACAAAGCTGGAGATATCACACTACCTGTCTTCAAACTATACTACAAGGCTACAGTAATCAAAACAGTATGATACTGGTACCAAAACAGAAATATAGACCAATGGAACAGAACAGAGGCCTTGGAGGCAACGCCATACATCTATAACCATCTGATCTTTGACAAACCTGACAAAAACAAGCAATGGGGAAAGAATTCCCTGTTTAATAAGTGGTGTTGGGAAAACGGGCTAACCATGTGCAGAAAGCAGAAACTGGACCTCTTCCTGACACCTTACACTAAAATTAACCCTTTCCCATTCTTATTTGGCAAACTCTTTTCCATTCTGGATCCAGCCCATTTCCACCCCTTACTCTGTATGTTTTCTACTACCTGCCTTCCCAGGCAGTCTGAATACATACCTATGCCCAAAATTCACAGACTAGACTTCCACCTGGGCAGTTCTTTAGCCTACCACAAGAAGTCCCACACCATCATTTAAAAAGAACTTTTTTATTCTATGGATGGATTAGGTTAGGACTTTCCCCTTTAACCAGAACCACAACTCAGCATGCTTACCATCATTAGAACTTGAGCTTTGGGCTGGGCACAGTGGCTCACACCTGTAATCCTAGCACTATGGTAGGCTGAGGCAGGAGAATCACTTGAGCCCAGGAATTCAAGACCAGCCTGAGCAGTATAATGAGACCCCCCTCATCTCTACAAAAAAAATTTGAAAAATTAGCCGGGTGTGGTAGCACGTGGCTATAGCTCCAGCTACTCAGAAGGCTGAGGTGGGAGGATTGCTTGAGCCCAGGAGGTTGAGGCTGCAGTGAATCATGACTGTGTCACTTCACTCCAACCTGGGCAACAGAGTGAGACCCTGTCACCGAAAAAAAACAAACAAAAGCATCTGAGCTTTGACTTCTAGTGTCCTAACACTCAGCCGGTCAAAAACCTGCTATGGCAGCAGTTGCCACTCTTACTGTGTTTGCAACACAATTTCATATACTAGAACTTCGATCAGCACAGTTGAAGAGATTAAAAGATGTAATGCTCAACCCAGTTAAAAGACAATGCTCAGTATTAAATAGAGCATTGTCTCCCTGTGTCCGTTAAGATATCTATCGTTATACTCCTCATTTGGTCATCCTTCAGGACCGTGCATCTGTTTGACTATTGCTGTTTATTTACTGCCCTCACTAGACTCTAATATACTCACAGGACAAATTTTCTTCAGATCGTGGTAAACACACAATCTTTATTTGGCACTAGGTTGATGTTATGCTTCCTTTCTTATGTATTGCACATGTACTCTGCTCCATACCATGTGACGGGAGCCAACCAGCTCAACATTTCATCTGACAAACAGAGCCATTATGTTGTATTAAAATATGTAGTTAAACCCACAGAATGAAGAAAATATTTGCAAACTAACCATCTGACAAGAGATTAATACTCAGAATATGTAAGGAGCTCAAATAACTCTGTGGGAAAAAAACTAATAATCCGATTAAAATAGGCAGAAGACCTGAATAGACATTTCTCCAAAGAAGGCATGCAAATGGCAAACAGGTATATGAAAAATGCTCAGCATCACTGACCATCAAAGAAATGTAAATCAAAACTACAATGAGATACCATCTCACCCCAGTTAAAATGGCTTCTATCCAAAAGACAAGTAATGATGTTGGTCAGGATGTGGAGAATAGTGAAGCCTCCCACACTGCTAGTGGGAATGTAATTAGCACAACCACCATGGAGAACATTTTGGAGATTCCTCAAAAAACTAAAAATAGAGCTACCATGCAACCCAGTAGTCCCACTCCTAGGTATATACCCAAAAGAAGAGAAAGCAGTATATTAAAGAGATATCCGTACTCTCATGTTTGTTGCGGCACTGATAACACTAAGATTTGGAAGCAACCCAAGTGTCCATCAACAGATGAGTAGATAAAGGAAATGTGATACATATATGTAGTTGAGTACTATTCAGTCACAAAAAGAATGAGATCCTGACATTTGCAACAACACGCATGGAACTGGAGGTCATTATGTTAAGTGAAATAAGGCAGGCACAGAAAGACAAACTTTGCATGTTCTCACTTACTTGTGGGAGCCAAAAATCAAAATGATTGAACTCATGGAGATAGTAGAATCCTGGTTACCAATGACTGGGAAGGATAGTGGAGATTGGGGGTGATGGAGGGAAGTCGTGATAGTTAGAATGAGTAAATAAAAATAGAATGAGCAAGACTATATGCTAGCACACCAGGATGATTATAGTCAAAAATAATTGTACATTTTTAAGTAACTAAAAGAGTGTAATTGGATTATATATAACACAAAGGATAAATGCTTGGGGTGATGGGTAGATACCTCATTTGCTCTGATGTGGTTTTTATGCATTGCATGCCTTTAACAAAATATCTCATATAACCCCTAAGTGTATACACCAGCTATGTACCCAAAAACATTAAAAATAAAAGTAAAATATATGTAGTTAGATATATTTTACATACTGATCAAACTTTACACACTTGTAAAGTTTTCTCAGTACAGAAAACTTGAATCCTCTTTCCCAAGCCTTTAATGAAGAGATGTGTTGTAATCCAGCAATAGCCCATCATGATACTATGCCCTAATTTGTGCTGTTAGGATAGTAGGCCAATATGATACAATAATGCTTTAAGGCTGATTTTTTTCTTTTTAAAATTTATCAATATAATTGCATTGGTTACCTATGCAACAAAACAAATTACTGTAACATTTAATGGCTTAAAATAATAAACATTTATTATCTCAGTTTCTGTAGGAACTGAGGAGCAGCTTAGCTGCGTGTTTGTGGCTCAGTTTCTCTCATAACATTGCAGTTAAGATGTCAGCTAAGAGGGTTGTAGTTATCTGAAGGCTTACCTGGGGCTAGATTTCCATGATGTTTCACTCTCAAATGCGTAATGAATTCCTATTGGCTGTCAGTAGGAGGCCTCAGTTTCTCACTACATGGACTTTTCCACATGAAACTTGTCCACTGGCTGCTTACATGTCCTTGTGACTTGGCGACTGGCTTCCCTCAGAATGAGTGATTCAACAGAGAGTAGGGTAGAAGCCACAGTGTCTTTTATGACCTAGCCTTGGAAATCACCTGTCATCATTTTAACAATTATTATTTTTAAAATTGTGGTAAAATACAATATAAAATTTACCGTCTTAACCATTTGAACTGTACACAGTTCAGTAGCATTAAGTATATTCACACTGTGCAGTCATCACCACCATCCATCTCCATAATTCTTTTCATCTTTATAAAGTGAAACACTATACCCATTAAGCAGTAATTCTACATTCTTCCCTCCTCCCAAACCCTGGACACTACCATGGTATTTTTCTATCTATATGATTTTGACTGCTCTAGGTATCTCTATTAGTGGAATCATAGAGTACTTACCTTTCTGTGACTGGCTTATTTCACATAGCATAATATTCTCAGGGTTTGTCTATGTTATAATGTGTCAGAATTCCCTTCCTTTTATAGGCTGAATAATATAAAATATTTCATTAAACATATATATATGTATGTATATGTGTGTGTATGGGTATAGTGTGTGTGTGTATGTATACACACACACACACACAACTACATTTTGTTTACGCATTCATCTATTGATAGACTCTTGGTTTACTTCTGCTTTTTGGCTATTGTGAATAAACTATGAACACGAGTGTACAAATATGTTTTCACATACCCCTTTTCAGTTCCTTAGGTATATGCCCAGAAGTTAAATTGCTGGATTGTATGTTAATTGTGTTTTTTTCAGGTTTAATTGATTACTCACCTTATTTTTCTTATATAAAAGCACTACATGTAGCCAGAGTTGGAGCCTGCATCCTTTGCACAGAGGCTCTGGTGCAGGTCTTTATTAGATGGCCAGTGAATTTCCGATAATTAGATTTGGTGAACACAATTTTTCTAAAAGTAAGAGGTTAGATGGCTGAAGATCTTGGAGATGGCATCAAGGATAGCCTTGGCACAGTTGCTCAGAGGGTAGTACAACCCCTGGCGGAGGTGTAGCAGTCATGAGTACCAGGTATAAGCAGCAGGTTTTTGAGTGCAGGACCTAAGATGTTGCCAGTGCCTTTGGGGGTGACACTGAGGTGCATCAGCACAGAGCCGCAGCAGCCAGTCACTTGCAATGCAGAATGTGGAGCTTGCTGATCTCGTTCCATCAGATCCTTGCTGCATGGGGCTGATGGAGACCAGAGTGATGACCCCATAGATGGCACTGTAATAACTTGGAGCAGTTATACAGACTGATATAGCCATTGTAGTCTCTGATGGTATAGCAAATGCCTTGAACCTGGTCCACTGGCCAGCATGGGTCTCCTTTTGCCACAATTGTGGTCTTCAAAACCTTACCTGTGAAAGGGTGTCCCCAGAAAAGTCAATTATTTCAGACTTCTTGATAGGCAGGGAGAAGAGAGCGTTCTCTTCCAGGTCTTGATTTTCACGTTCTTGTCCAGGCAGCCTAGCATGCAGATGGTGAGACACCCCTTGTACTTGGCCTTGCCTCTGTGAGCTCTGTGGTATAGGCCCTGAGCACAGCTGCAGCCTAGACCTTCCCATAGCCCTGGTGTCATCTGCCATTTGAGTTGTTGTCTTGGAGAAGAAGAGTAATTGTATTTTCAAGTTCTCTAGGAACCACCATACTGTTTTCCATAGCTGCAACACCGTTTTACATTCACACCAGCAGTGCACAAGGATTCCAATTTTGCCACATCTTCAAAACTTATTTTCTGTCTTTTTGATAGTAGCCATCTGTGTTAGTTTGTTCTCTTGCTGCTGTGAAGAAATACCGGAGACTGGGGGATTTATAAAGAAAAGAGGTTTCATTGACTCACAGTTTTACATGATTGGGGAGGCCTCAGGAAACTTGTAATCATGGCAGAAGGCACCTCTTCACAGGGCAGCAGGAGAGAGAATTAGTGCCAGCAGGGGAAATGCCAGATGCTTACAAAACCATCAGATCTCATGAGAACTCACTATCACGTGAACAGCACAAAGGAGACTGTGCCCATGATTCAATTACTTCCCACCAGGTCCCTCCCACAACATGGTGGGGATTATGGGGATAATAATTAAAGATGAGATTTCGGCAGGGGCACAACCAAACCATATCACCATCCTAATTGGTGTGAATTGGTATCTCATTATAGTTTTGATACACATTTCCCTCATGATTAGTAATGTTGAGCATCTTTTTGCATGCTCATTGACTATTCGTATATCTTCTTTGAAGAAATCTCTGTTCAAGTTTTTTGGCAATTTATTAATCAGGTTGTCTTTTGTTATTGTGGAGCTTTAGTTCTATTAAACCCTCAACAGACATAGGATTTGCTAATATTTTCTCCCATTCCATTGGTTGCCTTTTTACTCTGTTGACAGTGTAACCCTTGATACACAAAAGTTTTTAAGTTTGATGAAGTCTAACTTGCCTATTTTGTTGTTGTTGTTGCCTCTGCCTTTGGTGTCATGTCCAAGAAGTCATTGCCAAATCCAGTGTCATGCAGCTTTTGCCACATGTGTTCTAAGCGTTTTAATAGTTTTAACTTTTATGCTTGTGTCTTTCACAGTCTTTTTTTAAAATATACTTCAAGTTCTGGGATACATGTGCAGAACATGCAGGTTTGTTACCAAGGTATACATGTGCCATGGTGGTTTGCTGCACCCATCAACCTCTCATCTAGGTTTTAAGTCCCGCATGCATTAGGTATTTCTCCTAGTGCTCTCTCTCCCCTTGCCCCCCACCCCCCAACAGGCCCCCGTGTGTGATGTGCCTCTTTCTGTGTTCTCGTTGTTTAACTCCCACTTAATGAGTGAGAACATGTGGTGTTTGGTTTTCTGTTCCTCAGACACGGTCATTATTGCAGCATTCTGTTGGTTTATACAGGCCAGCCCTATTCAGTGTGGTAAGGGAACTATACAAAGATAAGAATACTAGGAGGTGGGAATCATTGGGGGCCATCTCAAAGACTGGTTCCCATAATAATTCAGGTCTATAGTTTTGAAAGTTAAGTAATTCTATAAGGTTTATAATGAAAATGGGAATCCCTTGCCTTTTCTCTTCCCACTGCTACCCAATCTTAATTTCCATGCCCTAGAAATAACTGCTTTCAACTTTCATGTAACTGCTTTTTCTGTTATTTACCTTCTGTGTTAATTCATTCCTGTATTGCTATAAAGAAATACCTGAGGCTGGGTAATTTATGAAGAAAAGAGGTCTTAGTGGCTTACAGTTCTCTAGGCTATACAGGAAGTGTGGTGCCAGTATTTGCTTCTGGTAGAGGCTTCAAAGCTTCCAATCATGGCAGAATGTGAAGAAGGGGAGCAGGCATGTCACATGGCAAGACCTGAGGCTAAAGAGAAACAGGGGAGGTCTCAGACTCTTAACCAGATTTCATGTGAAGGAACTGAGCAAGAGCTCACTCATCACCAAGGGGATGGTGCTAAGCCATACCTGAGGTATCCACCCCCATGATCTAATACCTCCCAACAGGCCCCATCACCAACATTGGGAATCACATTTCAACATGAGATTTGGAGGGGACAAACAGCCAAACCATATCACCTTCATATTTCTAAATCATGTTTATTCTGCCATTTTTGGATTTTATGCTTTAGATATTACCTATTAACTTTCTATGAGAAAAAGGAGATTTTGCACTCTTTTTTTTTGAGACGGAGTTTCGCTCTTGTTACCCAGGGTGGAGTGCAATGTTGCAATCTCGGCTCACCACAACCTCCGCCTCCTGGGTCCAGGCAATTCTCTTGCCTCAGCCTCCCGAGCAGCTGGGATTACAGGCACGCACCACCATGCCCAGCTAATTTTTTGTATTTCTAGTAGAGATGGGGTTTCACCATGTTAACCAGGATGCTCTCGATCTCTGGACCTCGTGATCCACTCACCTCGGCCTCCCAAAGTGCTGGGATTACAGGCTTGAGCCACCGCGCCCGGCCCGATTTTGCACTCTTACTGCACCCTCACAATCACACAAACACACATACACACAGCTTTATTTCCTTCCTACCATTCTTGCAGTTGACTAAGATTACAATTTTTGGTTCGATTTGTATTCACTGGTTTCATTACTGTGACTGACCTTGGGAACTTTTGGGCCTCTTAGAGTCATTATTTCTTCTTTCCTATTTATTCCTTTCTTTGTCATCTGGTCTGACTTGGGTGATTCTCTTGATAATTTTCCTTATGATATACTTCCCTAGGTCTGACTTAGTACATGCTGTGAAGTTAAGAAAGGTAATAATTTTTAAATTTCTTCCAGTTCAGGGTGGTTTACATGGGGCTATAAATCGGGGGATTGAGAAGGGATCCATATGTTTACTTTTTATTATTTTCTGTAGACTGGGATATTTATGTCCATACTTCAAAAAAATAGTTGTACAAGTGGTACACACATTTAGCCACATGGTACAGTAGTCTAACAAATACACATATGGGAAGATAAGGTGGAAAATAAAATCTTCTCAGAGGTAGCTCTAGTTAAAAGGTTGGTTTGTGTATTTTTTTATGTATTTTTCTATGATGTTTTTCTATCTTAATATGTCTCCATGTTTTTCAGTCTATTCATACAAACTAACTTAAGTATTTTTAACCACTATGTCATTTTTCAAAGTATGAATGTACCATATATGTTTTTCTTTTCCTCTATTAAGGGGCACTAAGCCGTATCCTGATGAGGCATCTGTAATGAACTCCTTATACATAGTAGATCTTTGTGTACATGCGTATTTCTGTAGGATAAAATCCTAGAAGTGGAATTTGTTGGATCAGATGTCCACTTTGAATTTTTATAGATACTGTCAAATTGGCATCCAAAAACCCTATCCCAGTATGTGCTTCTATCTGGAGTACAGACACATGCCCTTTTTCCCACACCCTTGCCAACATTACTTACCATTGACCTTTCTATCTGTTCTCTGGACTGTTGCTCTCCCATTTTTACTGATGATGAAATGAGTAGACCCTATCTTCAGGTATATTA